AGCACTGTTCTAGATCCGGGACCCCAAACTGTGATATTCCTGCAGGCCCTCTGCTGCGTTCTCACAGACATTACGATCTCAATGGAACTGAATTAGCTTTAACTGGAAACAAAATTGCCTTTGGAGGGACTGTCACAGTAGTCAAGAGACACCTCAAGTCCTCCAAACTGGGAAATGATGCTCCAACTGGGGGCCTTGTAGGATGTGCAGGTATCTCACACATCTAAGTGTGAAACTGTTGTTTTCACCACTGCCACTGTAAAACATTTGACCCTTTTCCAAATTCAGGTATATTCATGTAAATAGCATTTCCCCAACTTGAATCATCCCCATGCCTTCTTCACAGAGAAAGTGGCTGGGGAAGGACCTTGTCAAAGTTCCTCTGCTTCTTGTCCAGGGTGGCACAGGCAGTGTGGGAGCGCTCCAGATCCAGCATCAGATCATCCACCTCTCCCTGCAGCCTCTGCTTGGTTTTCTCCAAGGATGCGCACTTGGAGTTCGCCGTCTCCGTGTTCTCCTCTGCTTCCTGGAGCCTCTGGGCCAGTTTTTTCCTATGAAAACCAGATTTTTTCCCCCCTTGGCAAAAGTGGAATATTTCAGAAGGTAACTGTCAGATGGGAAGAGAAATACAAAAAACAGATTTTTCCCCCCTTGGCAAAGGTGGAATATTTCAGAAGGTAACTGTCAGATGGGAAGGGAAATGAATAGCATGGAAGGGACTGATGTTTGATGAGAGCAAAACCTAGGATTTGGTGAGTGGAGAGGATCCAAGTGTCACTGGGAGAGTCTCAAAATGCTTGGTGGCAAAGCAGGTCCCTAAGGAGCCCCCCAGGGAGCTAGGGGGAATGGACATTCCCAAGAAGAAGGACAGGGAGACCCGCAGAGGGTGGGGGGCACAATCTGAATGTTTCAGAAACCACAAAGGCATGGGCAGGAAAGAGACAATCTCTCAAGATACGAAGACTCCTGGTCTCTTGGCTTGTGCCCTCAGGCTCCCCCTGCTATTGCCACCCTGGAGTCCCTACTTGGCCTCCTCCAGCTCCTCTGTGCGCTGGATGGCGTCCGTCTCGTATTTGGTCCTCCACTGAGCAACCTCACTGTTGGCCTTGGACAGCACCCTCTGCAGCTCGGCCTTAGCTTCCTGTTCCTCCTCATACTGTTCCCGCAGCAGGTCACAGTCGTGGCGGGAGGACTGCAGGGCGTGTGCCAGGGCGTTCTTGGCCTGGGAATGACAGTGGTGACAAATTGCAAAAACATTTGACCCTTTTCCAAGTTCAGGTATTTTTATTTAAATAGCTTTTCCCCAGCTTGAATTATCCCTATGCTGTTTTCACCAAATTTGCCATATCAGCATATCGCCTGGTTTATTTAATTTTTTCAAGTGGGCTCCTTAATTATATTTAAATATATTTAACAAAAGAGTGAACTGTTACAGGACAGTAAGTGGAAAACCACTGACATTTGCCATAAACAGAAGGTAACCGTAAGTGCAATGGAAATAAAGCAATGTTATCACGTCTCGCTAGGTACTGTTGCCTGCTGGGACTCCATGCCTGGGGTCTACGCTCTATTTCTTAATAGGGTAAATAAGCAAATACTAAGGAAGTATGGTTCATGCTGAGGCCTTTTCCTTGATATAATCAGAAGGTTTGGAACAATTAAAAAGGGAAGAATTTTCTCGCTACTTGATGCAATGGTACGGAATGCTGTGACCAGGAGAAGCCTGAAAGCATCTTTTGATCTCACCAGTGGGCTGTGTCCCCACACTGGGGACTGCTGATGTGAGCTTTGCTGTTTCCACGGCCCGACTTCCTCCTTCTAGGCAGAGAAGACATGCCTAGAGGCATCCGTCCCTCACTCCCTCCCATGTGGAGGGACGGAAGGGCAACAGTTTAGCTCCGACTATAATGGCCACAAGACGCCCTCTGGTGCCACCATCAAAGAGAGAGTTCTGTCAGCTCACTTTAGTAATTTGTACATTTTCAACTTTTTAAAAACGTAATAGGCCAGGCGTGGTGGCTCATGCCTGTAATCCCAGCACTTTGGAAGGCCGAGACGGGCGGATCACCTGAGGTCGAGAGTTTGAGACCAGCCTGACCAACATGGAGAAACCCTGTCACTACCAAAAACACAAAATTAGCCGGGCGTGGTGGCCCATGCCTGTAATTCCAGCTACTTGGGAGGCTGAGGCAGGAGAATCACTTGAACCCAGGAGGCAGAGGTTGCGGTGAGCCAAGATCGCGCCATTGCACTCCAGCCTGGGCAACAAGAGTGAAACTCCGTCTCAAAAAAAAAGGCAATAAATGGGAAACTTTGCCTAAGAAGGAAAACAGCTGTTGCTGTATCGTGGCCAAAGGACAGCCGGCTCCTCCTGCAGTGGCCCTCCTCAGTACTTGTTCAGGCTTGGGTTCTCATCACTTCCCCCTGCCCCCCCTCATCTACTGAAGATCTTCACCACAGAACAGAAAGATGGGAGACAAATATGGCACTTGTCCTTTTTCAGAAGAAAAAGGTGGAGCTTGGGAAAATTCCAGAAGATTGCCCTATAAGTCTTAGCCAGTGTACAGCAACCTCAGAGTTCCATTCATGCAGTTTTGTGGACTCTTGGTTCCCTATTCTGATACCTGAACACGAATTGGCAGCACCAAGCACCTACTGTGTGCACTGTTCTTCTGGGCAAAGTAGGTAGAGTGAGGACAAACTATTCTTGCCCTCCATGAGTTTACAGATCTGTGGGAGACACATATTATAAACATAGTATCTGGATCTTGAAATCAAGAAGGCCATGATGTTCATGTTTATGCAACTGTCTCCAGGGTGCTCCCAAAACCACGGAGTCTTTTTGGAGGAAGGTAGCTTAAAATCAGGTGGTATAGGAGGTGACACACCAGGAATAATGAAGAAGAAAGAGGAAGGGATTTCAAGTGGCCGGAATGAATTGCTGGGCAGAATGCTCAAGTGTGTACAGTGATCGGGAGGAGGTGCCCTGGCTGGAGAGGGGAGTTTCTCAGACTACCCTATGGGGGACAGAGGGCATGGACCACCATGGGTATGGTTTTCTATCCCTGAAGAAGGAGATCTAATGCCAAGGTCCTCTAACTTTAAAGGACGGGTTCACACCATGCTGCAAGGCAGACAGGAGAAGCAACAGGTTTCTTCTTTTCTTTCTTTTTTTTTTTTTTTAGCGGAGTCTTGCTCTGTCTTCTAGGCTAGAGTGCAGTGGCGTGATCTTGGCTCACTGCACCCTCCGCCTCCCGGGTTCAAGGAATTCTCTGCCTCAGCCTCCTGAGTAGCTGGGATTACAGGCACCTGCCACTACGCCCAGCTAATTTTTTTTTTGTATTTTTAGTAGAGATGGGGTTTCACCATCTTGGCCAGGCTGGCCTTGAACTCCTGACCTCGTGATCCACCCGCCTCAGCCTCCCAAAGTGCTGGGATTACAGGCGTGAGCCACTCACTGTGCCCGGCCACAGCAGGTTTCTTGATGTAGCACTGCTCCGACCAGCTTCACAGGTGAAGTGGTCATACAGCCTGGTTTCTCAGGTTCAATCTGACTCTATATCTTTACCTTCGTTTCTTCTTCCATTTGCCTCTTAAGCTCCTCCAGCTGCTGGGTGAGGGCCTGCTTGCTTTTGGTCAGCTGTAAAATCAGAGATTCCTTCTCTTCCACTTGGTGGCTCAGCTCCCCTACCAAACAGATGTGGCCCCCACGTCAGTGTTACCGACCACCCTCTCCCATGGCCCGGCTGGACCTCAGAGCCCTGCCCATTCTCACCATTCTGGGTCTGTAGTCTTGCTTTCTGCATGTTCAGATCATGGATCAACTGTGTCTGTTGCTCATCCTTGGCTTTGATTTCACTAAATTGGTCTTCTACCGTCCGGCACGTTCTTTCTATGTTACTCTTTAACAAACAGAAAGTCACCATGAATGGGAAAAAATGGATTCCTAGTGCCCAGCATTGAACTGAACCGTGTGATCGTTTAGCTTCTTGTCAGGTAAAATAAAACTACAAATATAGAACAAAAAAAGAGTCAGTTTAAAATCATAATTGACTGGGCGCAGTGACTCACGCCTATATCCCAGCACTTTAGGAGACCGAGGCGGGTGGATCCCTGAGGTCAGGAGTTTAACACCAGCCTGACCGACATGGTGAAATCCCATCTGTACTAAAAATACAAAAATTAGCCGGGCATAGTGGCAGGCACCTGTAATCCCAGCTACTCGGGAGACTGAGGCAGGAGAATCGCTTGAACCCAGGAGGCGGAGGTTGCAGTGAGCAGAGATCATGCCATTGCACTCCAGCCTGGGCAGCAAGAGTGAAACTCCGTCTCAAAAAAAAAAACAAAAACAAAACAAAAAAAAAAACATAATCATTTCAGATTTGTGAATGCAGCTCAATCTCCAATCGCTTGGAACATCAGTTTTTGGTAGGTAAGTATTTAATGATTTGTAAACAACCCTTTGAGAAGATGCCACTTTTAAGTGGATCCTTGGGATCCTCTTGTAATATAAGTAATTTGTGAATAATTGCAAGCAATACAAGCCTGTGAATATTTTCAAGCAATATATTCAGATGACAGTGTTAAGCATTTCATTCAATAACACAAAAGGTTCCCGATGGTGGAGGTGGTATGAAGGGATTCACCTCCCCAGCCTCCATTTGGCCTGTATTTTTGTGAAGTTTATTCAAAACCCTTATGTGTGTTGACCTTTCTCTCCTCCTGCTGCTCCATAAAATAGAAAATAAAATGTATGGAGCATATGTTTTTCCTTAGAAGGCGAAGTATGAGCTGGCAGTGGAGGAAGCAGGGATACTGATTCCAGGGGAGTCCTGGAGGAGCTTAGGATCTCTTTGAGAAGATGACACGCAAGCATGAAGGAATCAAAGCAGGGAAGGTTGAAAAGCGATGGCGACTTGCAAGAAGAGACGTGAAAGGGGCCAACTGAGAAAGTGTAAAGAAGCATGAAGTGCTGCTTCCCCTGGATGTTAAAATTGAGAACAGAGAGCAGCACACGGCAATTCTGGAGAGAGGGAGGCTGGGGTGGGGGCTGTTTATAGGCACAGTGCGTGGGGGATGCTGGAGGCTCTTCCTACCCACCTTCCCCTGCAGGCTGGCCTGGCTCGTGGAGAGAGAGGTGTGGGAGGGGAACATGTACAGACCCAAGTTCTTAGAGGAAGAAAGAAAACCAAGAAAGGGAAAAAGGGCAAACAAATGGGAAAGCAGGAAAGAAGGAGAAAAGGAGTCATCAGTCGGAGCCAGAGGCTGCAGTCGGGGAGTGAAGAAGCAATCAAGGGAAAACAAGACAGTGTGGACGCAGACCCTAAACACTGGCAGCAGGGGGCGCTGGAGAGACCACTCTAGTTCTCTGATCCACATCTCCCTTCCTTTTCTGGACAGATGCCCTGACCTTCCAGGAAACCCTTGGTGAGAGGCCCACAACCCTACTTCTAGGGTCACCACTGCTTCTTCCAGCCCAGCCAAACAGCTCCTAGTACAGCTCAGAGCACCCTGCAAGGAGGGCAGGTGTTAAATCGAGGAGCACACGTGCTCCACAAGGAATGCTTTGCTTTGAGGTCATGCACAGAGGTAGGTTCACTATGAAGCTTGTGAAATAAGCTTCAGGGCCCGCAATTTGTATGGACCCCAGAGAGTCTGGGAGCTGCAGAAGGTTTGAGGGAAGAGGAGTCATCCCAAGCAGAATATATTCTAGAAGGCATTTCTGGCAAATGGCCCAAAGAGGCTTCAGGAGAAAAGAACTTGAGTCTTCAAGGTAACCTGCAACACTTTTGTGTCATTATAAGTATTAACTTTCATGCCTAAGTTTCATAAGTTTGTACACTTTTTTCTTAAAGAACCCTAGTCGGCCAGGCACAGTGGCTGATGCCTGTAATCCCAGCACTGTGGGAGGCCGAGGTGGGTGGATCACCTGAGGCCAGGAGTTCAAGACCAGCCTGGCCAACGTGGTGAAACCCCATCTCTATCAAAAATACAAAAATTGGCCAGACGTGGTGGCATGTGCCTGTAATCCCAGCTACTTGGGAGGCTGAGGCAGGAGAATTGCTTGAACCTGGGAGGTAGAGGTTGCAGTGGGCTGAGATGGTGCCACTGCAATCCAGCCTGGGGAACAAGAGCGAAACAGTGGCACAGATCATCCAACTGTGCTTGAATCAAGTGGTCTTGATGCTTTGGTCTTAAAGTTTGTGTCTCCCCAAAATTCATAATTTCTAGTCCAGTGGTGTTGGGGGGTGGGGCTTTTGGGAGGTGATAAGGTCACGGGGGTGGAGCCCTTATGAATGGGATTAGTGTTCTTATAATAGAGGCCTGAGAAAACTTGTTCACCCCTTCTACCACATGAGGATGCAATGAGAAGGCGCCATCTGTGAGGAACAGACCTTCAACAGACACCGAATTTGCTGGCACTTTGATCTTGGACTTCCCGGCCTCCAAAATTGTGAGCAATACATTTCTGTTGTTTATAAATTACCTACTCTAAAATATTTTGTTACAGCAGCCCAAATAGATAAGACAAAGGATATGAGTGAATTTGAGGAACTGGAAACAGGCAGAAATAGGGAAGAGGGTTTCGGTGTAGAACATGCAGTGGTTTGGAGGCATCAAATTACATGTGCCCAGGGGCAGGTGGCCACCGGCTGCCTTGCATTCTGCAAGAGCAGAAAGGTCAGTCAGGTACCTTTGACTTGGAGATGGCTTCGATGTTGCTGGCCATGTCATCGATCTCCATCTTCAGCTCACTCTTCTCCTTCTCCAGCTTCTGCTTCACCCGCTGCAGGTTGTCAATCTGCTCCCCAAGCTCGGCCACACTGTCTGCGTGCTTCTTCCTCAGGGTGGCCGCCGTGGCTTCGTGCTGCAGGGTGGCCTCCTCCAGGTCCCTGCGCATTTTCTGGAACTCAGCCTCCCGCTTCTTGTTCATCTCAATCTGGGCTGAAGTGGCCCCACTGGCTTCTTCCAGCCTCTCGCTGATCTCCTCCAGTTCCCGGGCCAGATCTGAGCGCTGCTTCTCAATCTTGGCTCTGAGTGTGTGTTCTGCTTCAATTTCCTCCTCCAGCTCTTCTATGCGAGCCTGAAAGGATCACTGTATCAGGACTCTTATTGTGGAGGAGGGGGCAGCCTCCTTTGAGAGGGGCTGGGTGTTGAGGAATTGCAGGTAGGCAGCACGAGGTGGGTGGATCATTTGAGGTCAGGAGTTTGAGACCAGCCTGGGCAACATGGTGAAACTCTGCCTCTACTAAAAATACAAAAATTAGCCGGGTGTGGTGGAGGCCACCTGTAGTCCCGGGTACTTGGGAGGCTGAGGCAGGAGAACAGCTTGAACCTGGGAGGTGGGGGTTGCAGTGAGCTGAGATCACGCCGCTGTGCTCCAGCCTGGGTGACAGAGACTCGGACTCAGAAAACAAACAAAAAAAGAATTCATTATAACATTACATTGGTGAAAAAACTTGGAAACAACCTAAATGTCCATGAATAAGGGAATGCACAAATCGATGGTGATGGAGACTTGTTCTAGAAGTCTATGGAGCAGGTAGACACCAATCCACGTCTATCATGGATGGCTCTGCAGATCACGTTGCCAAAAGAAAGGAGCAAGTTGCAGAGTGATACTCTCAGTGTGATATTTATGCTAAGAATATAAAGAAACAAGAACCTTTTCTGCATGTGTACTATATATTTTTGGGGGGTCTTAAATGTGTACAAAAACACATAGCAAAAGAGGCAGAAGGATGCATATCCCACTGAAACTGGTCATTACTTCTGAGAAGATGGTGAGGGCACTGGGCTTAGGGGTGGTGGTCAAAGCACCCTTATCAATAATATTTAGCTTTACTGGGCCTGTTTTGAGCCTTTGCAAGGAAGTATGTTTATGGGTTACTCAGAACATTAAAATATTATTTTCAAAAACTAAAAGAAAGGACAGGACATCTTCTCTAGCTTTAGCAGGAGGAAGGAAAGCAGCAGCTAAAGAAACAATGGGGAAGGAGTGAGGAGGGGCACTCTTGCAAAGGGATTGTCATGATTGGGAAGGTTTTGATGTTTTACCTGCAGTTCTTTCATCTTCTTTTGAAACTGCCAACTGTGGACTTGTTCGTCATCTATTTTGGCTTGTAACTGACTGATTTCAAACTCCTTCCTGCAAATAGATTTTAAAAAAAGAACATGAGATACAAGCCTCTTGGAGGGGATGAAAGTTGGCTTTTAGGCTGAGACACAGAGGTGGTAAAAGAAATATCTACTTTTTTAATTTCTCTTCTATTTGCTGCTTGTCATTTTCTAGATCCATAATGGATTCCTGGGACATTTTCAGATCTCCTTCCAGCTTCCTCTTCGCCCTTTCCAGGTCCGCCCGCAGTTTCTTTTCCTGCTCTAAGGAACCCTCAAGCTGAGAAGACACACAGGTAGAAAAGTAAGCCCCTGCTGGGGAAGCATTTGCTCCTTATATTCGGCGCAGCCATACACGTGACCTGGGGCTTCCTGGGGCTCCTGTAGGGTGCTGGCTGCAAGCTTCTGGCCTCAGGAGGAAGCAAGTCTTGTCCCCTACCTCCCCTCTCTTCTGTCTTCCAGAAAAGGCTACCCAGGGTGGGGCTGGGTCCTTCATGGGCCTCCTGGTGCCTCTCTCAACTGATTCCCACTCGGCCTGGCCCAGACCATGTTCCATGGAGGGGTATGGTACTCACGGGTGCACACCCTTGCACAGACAATACAAATGGGGGCTTCTATGGACAGCACTGTGAAGGTCTGTGCTCTACACCATCACTCATTCCCTGCTAACATTACACAACCATGGGAGGCAAGGAATTCATGTGTGTGTATGTGTGTGTGCGTGTATGCACACACACACACATGCACACATGGGAACAGGAAACAGGGGCGTAGAGGAGGAGCACACCTACCCTGGGCTCAGAAACATTAAAGTTATCTAGAAAATCTCTAGCCACAATAATGATTAAAACCTGAAAACTTCAAAAGTGGCTCTTACATCAACAATAATAACGTCATGTGATGGGGGTGGAAATAGTAATTTTCGTGGCCACAAATGGAACTCATCTTTAATAACGTTACAACAGGATTGGAGGTTTTGGAACCCAAAGGACCTACAGGTGGATGCTAATAATACTGATGATGGTGATGGTAGCAATAATAGCAGCTATGTTTTGCTGAACACTTTGTGTGTGCTGAGCTTTCTGTGAAAACCCTCTGAGATGATGCTATTTCCATCGCCATTTCACAAGGCACAAACGGAGGCTTTGCAAGGGTAAGCAGCTTGCTTAGTATCCCAGACTCCTTCAGGGTCAGGATGGGGCTGAGATCTGAACTTAGGGATGCTCATTCCAGAGTCTGACCTCTCAAGCCCTGCGTCCTAGTTAGACTGTCTCTTGTCTGTGCCTCCACAAGTGATAAATGCTAAAGCATAGTAGTAAAATATCCTTACATCATCTGTTTGCTGTTCAAGCTTGGCATTTATTTTGATTAGACCATTGACTTTATCTTCTTCAACCTGAAGGTCATCCAGTGTTTGCTGATGGGCCTCCTGTAGCGACTTCTTTTCTTTGGTCAATTTGGAAATGTTTTCTTCAAGTGCTGTCATTTCTTCGGAGAGATTCTTTACCTGGGACAATATCGACACTGATTTAATATGGAAAACGATTAAGCCAGAAGCTTCCATCAACAAAAGCTATTGCTTCTTTGCTCATTTTTCCTCTTTCCCTTTTCTTTTTGGCTACTACTTTTTTACCTCCTGGAATTGACAGACTCTCAGTTCTTTCTCTTCCTTAACGGTCTATCACGGCGCCTCAAATTCTCCCATTAGGATTATTCATTTAAGGAGGGCATTATATTCTATAAGGAAGGGCACTGTTAAAATGCAAATGTGCTACCTCTGAAGGGTAACACATCAATCTATATTTGCTCATAACACGTCTGTGGAAATGTGTTTATTAGGTTGGCTGGCTGAATAGGGTTTAGAATGAGGCAGGAAGGGGAGGAGAGGCGTGAGGTGCTATGCAAGAAAATTCACGCCAGGTGCAGTGGCTCACGCCTGTAATCTCTGCACTTTGGGAGGCTGAGGTGGGCAGATCATGAGGTCAGGAGATCGAGACCATCCTGGCTAACACTATGAAACCCCATCTTTACTAAAAATACAAAAAAATTAGCCGGGCGTGGTGGCGGGCACCTGTAGTCCCAGCTACTCAGGAGGCTGAGGCAGGAGAATGGCGTGAACCTGGGAGACGGAGCTTGCAGTAAGCAGAGATCACACTAGTGCACTCCAGCCTGGGAGACAGAGTGAGACTCCGTCTTGAAAGTAAAAAAGAAATAAAGAAAGAAGGAAGGAAGGAAGGAAAGAAAGAGGAAGGAAGGAAGGAAGGAAGGAAGGAGAGAGGAAGGAGGGAGGGAGGAAGGAAGGAAGGAAAGAAAGAAAAAGAAAAAGAAAGGAAGGAAGGAAGGAAGGAAGAAAGAAAAAAGAAAATTCAGAACAGGAGTGCTGTGTTATCAGGAAGCAGGAGGAGGGCACCCAACATGGAACTTGAAGGAAGTAAGTGAAACTTTTTCCACATCCAACAGGCCTCCAGATCAGAAGTTGCTAACTCCTAATCTATGGGCTGAATCTGGCCATATTTTCTTTAGTCCACATAGTAGTTTACAGTGTTCTTATTTACAATGTCACAGTAGTTTTTGTTTATTTGTTTGTTTGTTCTTCTTTTGTTTTGTTTTTGAGACAGAGTCTCGCTCTGTCACCCAGGCTGGAGTGCAGTGGTGCAATCTCCGCTTACTGCAAGCTCCGCCTCCCGGGTTCATGCTATTCTCCTGCCTCAGCCTCCTGAGTAGCTGGGACTACAGGCGCCGCCACCATGCCCGGCTAATTTTTGTATTTTTAGTAGAGATGGGGTTTCACCACGTTAGCCAGGATGGTCTCGATCTCCTGACCTTGTGATCTACCTGCCTTGGCTTCCCAAAGTGTTGGGATTACAGGCGTGAGCCACCGCGCCTGGTCTGTAGTTTTTAAAATGTTATCAACATTGAAAAAAATGAGACTTCACGTAAAACTTGGATTTCTGGCTTCTCATGGAAAACCAGAAGTTCTGAAAATGCTGGATTCCCATTCCCTGCTGACAACAGTTGGCTGGGGCTGAGTCACCACTGCCTTCTGTGGACAGGGCAAGAGCTCTTCAGTTTGCCACAGTCCCCAGCCCTTCCGAGTGTCTTTTTCCATTACTCCCAGCGTCTATCCAACACTGACTCTGAGTGTCAACTGTCATTGTGTCTTAAACTCAGCAGTTCACATCCCTTAGCCCACCTCATGGGCAACCCATTATGATGTGAATCATGTAAGTGGTTTTACATATTATTGTTGAAATGTATGTCGTTGTGTTGTGTGCATGTGATTTTTGTCCACGTAAATGCTATTATGCTGTATACTTCATTTTCTTTTTCTTTTCTTTTCTTTTTTTTTTTTTTTGAGATGAGTCTTGCTCTGTCACCCAGGCTGGAGTGCAGTGGTGCGATCTCGGCTCACTGCAATCTCTGCCTCCTAGGTTTGAGTGATTCTCCTGCCTCAGCCTCCCAAGTAGCTGGGAATACAGGCACCCGCCACAACGCCCAGATAATTTTTGTATTTTTCGTAGAGACGGGGTTTCACAGTGTTAGCCAGGATGGTCTCGATCTCCTGACTTCATGATCCGCCCCCCTTGGCCTTCCAAAGTGCTGGGATTACAGGCGTGAGCCACCGCGCCCGGCCCTATATTTCATTTTCTTACATTTTCCCACCATTTAGCAGTGTTTAACATTTGCTGTGCACAACCCATTGTTCCTAATGGCTACGTGGTTCTCCCTGGTGTGTACCTACTACATGCTATCTCTGTTTTCCCCGTGGTGGACCCTGGCACTGCCTCCAGCTGTCTCCCACAAGCAATGCCACTACAAACACCCTAGGACATATCGCTTTGTAGAAAGGTGGAAGAATTCCTCGATCTATATACCCAGGAGCAGAATTGCTGAGTCATAGGGTATCTGGATTCTTAATTCGACTAAGTCATTCCAAATGACTTTCCCAAACACTGCATCAGTCTCTGTTCTGCCAGTACTCGCTCCTCTCAGTCAATCCTTGGTGTTACCCAGTCTTCTGCCTCCTTCACTATCTGGCTGGCCCCTGTAGGCCTTCTTGTTTGCAATCCCTGCGCTTGGTGCTATGGGAAATGAAGAAGAATATGAAACAGTCCTTCCTCTCAATGAAATGCTAGAAGTTTGTGATACAGCCAGGGAGGTTTGAGAAGAGCCTATGGGGTCGGGCGCAGTGGCTCACACCTGTAATCCCAGCACTTTGAGAGGCTGAGGCGGGTGGATCACCTGAGGTCAGGAGTTCGAGACCAGCTTGGCCCACATGGCGAAACCCCATCTCTACTAAAAATACAAAAAATTAGCTGAGCATGGTGGTGTGCGCCTGTAATCCCAGCTACTCGGGAGGCTGAGGCAGGAGAATTGCTTGAACTCGGGAGGCGGAGGTTGCATTGAGCTGAGATCGCACCACTGTAACGAGATCTGCCTGGGTGACAGAGCAAGACTCTGTCTCACACACAAAAAAAGAAAGAAGATGACGAAGGAGGAGGAGGAGGAGGAGAACCTATGGGACAGAAAAGACGGCAGGGGACAGAACTTGTTGGGACTTAACTACCCTTCTCCTTGACTCCAGCCTCTCATTTCCGGGCAATGTTGTATTGAGTGGACTCCTACGCCACCCTTTCTCCTCCTTACAGAGAGAGAGAGAGAAACCTGGTTAAGACACTGCAGGAATCCCTTGGGTTTGCGCACCTTGTTCTCTGTGGCATGCTTCTCCTTTTCAACTTTCGTCAAGGTCAGCTCCAGGTCATCAATGTCTCTCTTGAGAGAGCAGCATTTGTCTTCCAGATTCCTCTTCTTGGCAACCAGTTCAGAATTCATGTCCTCTTCCTCTTCCAGTCTCTCAGTCAGCTCCTTAACTTTTGCTTCCAATAGGATCTTGCTTTTGATGAGTCCTTCACACCGTTCCTCAGCGTCCATCAGATTTTCCGTTTCCTGAAAGAACCAGGTCATTTTATGTTTTGATTGGCCTCTTTGAAAATGCTACAAAGAAAGGGTGTCACCCTCTTAAAGCCCATTATCTAGGCCTAAGCCAAGAAATGGGTCATGCACACACATGCACGCACATGTGCACACACTGCACACATACATGTACATAAACTTAGATATCACCCATAAACACATTTTTTTTTCTTTTTAGATGGAGTTTTGCTGTGTGGCCCAGGCTGGAGTGTGGTGGCGTGATCTTGGCTCGCTGCAACCTCTGCCTCCCAGGTTCCAGCGATTGTAGTCCTGAGTTGCTGGGATTACAGGCATGTTCTACCACACCTGGCTAATCTTTGTAATTTTTGTAGAGATGGGATTTCACCATGTTGGCCAGGCTGGTCTCAAACTCCTGACCTCAGGTGATCTGCCCACCTCGGTCTCCCAAAGTGCTGGGATTACAGGCGTGAGTCACTGTACCTGGCCAGTATACATGCTGTTTTTTTGTTTGTTTTTAACTACCAAGGACATTGCTTATAGAAATTCGCATTTAATAATTTGTCCATTTATTTCTTTAGAGACAAGGTCTTGCTCTGTTGCCAAAGCTGCAGTGCAGTGGTGTGAGACAGCCCACTGCAGCCTCACACTTCTGTCTCAAGTGATCCTCCCACCTCAGCCTCCCAAGTAGCTGGAACTACAAGGTATGTGCCACCATGACTGGCTTCATTTTGTGTGTGTGTACAGATGGGGTCTCAATGTGTTGCCCAGGCTTGTCTCAAATTTTAGCCTCAAGTGATCCTCCTGCCTCAGCCTCCCAAAGTGCTGGGACTACAAGTGTGCGCCCCCATGCCTGGCCTCACTTATAATAATTTCAAACAGAGGAGTTCGTGAAGTTACAAGTTCATTTTAAAGAATGAAGCCTCTAGAAATTTGCCACATTTGGGCCGGGCGCGGTGGCTCAAGCCTGTAATCCCAGCACTTTGGGAGGCCGAGATGGGCGGATCACGAGGTCAGGAGATCGAGACCATCCTGGCTAACACAGTGAAACCCCGTCTCTACT